GCAGTGCGTGTGTGTGTGTGTGTGTGTGTGTGTGCGTGTGTGTGTGTGTGTGTGTGTGTGTGTGTGTGTGTGTGTGTGTGTTTGTATGTGTGTGTATGTATAAATTCATATATTCGTATATACGTAATGTGAGATAACTGTGCTTCAGATTGTGTTTGTTGAACCGGCGAGTGAACTTGCGACCCTAAAAACCAAATATAAGATTCAAGATACGAGAGAGATAACTATGACGCAGAGGTAAGCATTTATACATTATTTCATGTGTTTTAGAAGGTAATGTTACATGAGGGATATTAGGTGTACATATATGGATAAGTAGATAGATACATAAGTAGATAGAAATAGAACCACAAACAATACTTTTATGTAGGTTTACTATTTTTCCCTCCTCTTCCAGTCAGCTTCTTTGTCTAAGTTAACAGAAGGAAGTATAATAGGAAGCATATGTATTTAAAAAGAGATAAGGACATAACGAAGTTCATAGATGAGTATATAGCTAGGTAGTTGGTAAGATAAGTAGAGAGAGATATACGAAGATTCATTTTTTTTCTCTTTTTCCCCTTTGCTCTTCTTCTCCTTTCCTCCTCCTTTGCTCTTCTTCTCACTTTTCCTCCTCCTTTGCTCTTCTTCTCCCTTTTCCCCACCTTCTTCTCCTCCTTTGCTCTTCTTCTCCTTTTCCTCACCTTCTCCTCCCTCTTTGCTCTCCTTCTTCCTTTTCCTCCACCTTCTCCTCCCTCTTGTCTTCTTCTCCCTTTTCCCACCTTCTTCCTCCTTTGCTCTTCTTCTCCTTTTCCTCCACCTTCTCCTCCCTTGCTCTCCTTCTTCCTTTCCTCCATCCTCCCTTCTTCTTCTTCTCCTTTTTCCCCACCTTCTCCTCCCCTTTGTCCACTTCCTCCACCTTCTTGCTCTTCTTCTCCCTTTTCCTCCACCTCTCCTCCTTTGCTCTCCTTCTTCCTTCCTCCCTCTTGCTCTTCTTCTCCCTTTTCCTCCACCTTCTCCTCCCTTTGCTCTTCTTCTCCCTTTTCCTCCATCTTCTCCCCCTTTGCTCTCCTTCTTCCTTTCCTCCCTCTTGCTCTTCTTCTCCCTTTTCTCCACCTTCTCCTCCCTTTGCTCTTCTTCTCCCTTTTCCTCCACCTTCTCCTCCCCTTTGCTCTCCTTCTTCCTTTTCCTCCACCTTCTCCTCCTCTTGCTCTTCTTCTCCCTTTTCCTCCCTCTTGCTCTTCTTCTCCCTTTTCCTCACCTTCTCCTCCCCTTTGCTCTCCTTCTTCCTTTTCCTCCACCTTCTCCTCCCCTTGCTCTCTCTCCCTTTGCTCTTCTTCTCCCTTTTCCTCCCCGCTCTTCTTCTCCCTTTTCCTCCACCTTCTCCTCCCTTTGCTCTCCTTCCTCCTTTTCCTCCACCTTCTTCCCTCTTGTTCTTCTTCTCCCTTCCTCCCTCTTGCTCTTCTTCTCCCTTTTCCTCCACTCTTCCTTTTCCTCCCTCTTCTTCTTTCCCTTTTCCACTTCTTCTCCCTTTCCTCCACCTTTGCTCTCCTTCTTCCTTTTCCTCCCTTCTCTCCTCTTGCTCTTCTTCCTTTTCCTCCACCTTCTCCTCCCTTTGCTCTTCTTCTCCCTTTTCTCCACCTTCTCCTCCCTTTGCTCTTCTTCTCCCTTTTCCTCTTCTCTCCCCTTTGCTTTTCTCCTTTTCCTCCACCTTCTCCTCCCCTTTGCTCTCCTTCTTCCTTTTTCCACCTTCTCCTCCCTCTTGCTCTTCTTCTCCCTTTTCCTCCCTCTTGCTCTTCTTCCCTTTTCCTCCCCTTTGCTCTTCTTCTCCCTTTCCTCCACCTTTGCTCTCCTTCTTCCTTTTCCTCTTCTCTCCCTTTTGCTCTCCTTTTTCCTCCCCTTTTCCTTCTCTTCTTCCTTTTCCTCCATGCTCTTCTCTCCCTTTTCCTCCACCTTCTCCTCCCTTTGCTCTCCTTCCTTTTCCTCCCCCTTGCTCTTCTTTCCCTTTTCCTCCACCTTCTCCTCCCCTTTGCTCTTCTTCTTCTTTTTCCTCCCCCTTGCTCTTCTTTTCCCTTTTCCTCACCTTCTCCTCCCCTTTGCTCTTCCTTCCTTCTCCTCCCCCTTTGCTCTTCTTCTTCCTTTTCCTCCACCTTCTCCTTCTCCTCCTCCTGTTCCAGCCAGTTCCTGATGCCGGGTTTAGTGGACACGCACATCCACGCCCCGCAGTTCCCCAACACCGGGATCCACCTGGTCCTCCCTCTGCTCGAATGGCTTGACAACTACACCTTCCCGACGGAGGCCAAGTTCGCCGACGGGAAATTCGCGCAGTACGTTTATGGAGCTGCCGTGGTAAGCGATAAAAGAGGGACAAGTGTGGGGAAAGAAGATTGCGTCATATGGGTGTTCTTTTCCGTATGCCAGAAAGAAGGAAAGAAAGAAAGAAAAATGATGGAAAGCTTATGGTGATAAGATTATGTGCAAGTGATTTTTTCCCCCTTGGGTGTATGCAGTGATCAAATCCAGTGCACAGCATGTCTGTATAACGTTGTGGTTATATATCCTATGCTGTATCCTTTCCATACAAAATATCTGTCAATCAGTAAAAAATGCACAGAAAAAAATACAATTGCTTTTCTAGTTTTAAAACGACAAAATATAGCGTATATATATATACATGGAAAAACGTGATTTAGATCTATATCTGTGAAGGAAACTAAATGAACAATTATCAAAGGAAAGGCAGATTTTAGCGAGGTAATTATTATAATTTGTTTAAATTCCATGCATGGGTAGAGTTAATGTATGAAAATTTGTCTGACTCTGTAGAAGCATGTGTATGTATAAGAACTGATAAAATAAAAGTAGAATCGCCAAACAAATTATAAAGGAATTATTTGAAATATTTAGGAGCAACGGAATATACTTTGGGTACATACTTGAGAATGAGCAAATACTGATATATGTATTACTAGAAACTGAAAGGATAAATAAAGACAAATATAAAATTAGAATGATAAAATGGGAAAAAAATCAATATATGAATAGAACAGAATAAGAAGAGCAGCTCGAATTCCAAAGATACGGTACAATTAGTAACGTAATTATGCCTGATTGTACTAATTAACATCGCATACATCAGCTGACCTTGAAGACCACATACACTGTAATTCGACGATGCAATGTGTCACAAAATTTAAGTAGTTTTCCATACCATTATGTTAGTATCTGTCACATGAGTTTAATTTCAATATTGCTGTAGCTTATTACAAGTAACCAGACGGCGTCTCTCATTCTCCCAACATTCAAAAATTGGAAAGATCACAATGAATATTAATAATACCCTTATCCTTATATCAACCAAATACTAATCCTAATGTTAAGCATGAACTCCTGTGTGATCCCAATACTCCCGCAGGACCGTCTGCTTCGATGCGGCACCACGACAGCCACCTACTTCGGTTCGTTACACCTGGAGGGAACCAAGATCCTGGGCGACACCGTCCATGCCCGGGGACAGCGCGCTCTGGTGGGAAAAGTCAACATGATCGCGAATTGCCCAAGTTATTACCAGGAAGCTTCCCTCGAGGACTCACTTAGGGAGACCGAGGAGTTCATACTTTACATCAAAAATTTAAAAGTAAGATTTTTTTTTTTAATGTGGAACGAGAATAATACCACTTGCATTGCGACATTTCTTGTTGCTTTTTATACGTCGGACTGATATGGGACTACATTGAAATGCAGTATGACCGTACTCAAGTCATCTTAGCTTTTGCGTCAGGGTGTCAGTAGTACATTAAAGTAATATTACGGTAAAAAAAGGGTACAATATCAGCTAGCATTAGTGTCATAAGACTCCACATGATTAAAATATCACCTTACGCAAATCCAGACTTATTGCCTATATTTCGAATATTACGTCTATTTTGTCACAGTCAGATTTGGTGCTGCCTATCGTCACGCCGAGGTCTGCCCCGACGTGTCCGAAGGAGCACATGGAAAGACTCGCTCAGCTGGCTCTGAAGCACGACTGCCACATCCAAAGCCACATCTGTGAGAGTCGGTCAGAAAATGACTGGGTGCAGGAGCTGTTCCCTTGGTCGACGAGCTATGCCGACGTCTACGGCACGGTGGGCCTCCTTACAGACAAGGTAGGCGTAAGCAATTATGATTTTTTTGTAGATTTATTTACGTTATTCATTCATCTTCGTCAACTTTGTTATGTTGTGCACTATAGATTTAAGCATCTCATGAATGGTCCAGTATTTGCACCATTTTTCACCACTATGCGCCAAGATACCTGATGGAATAAGCGGAAGCCAAACTAGTCTCATATTTATAAATATTCAAAATATCGTAATCTATATCATTTCCATGTCCTCTAGACGGTGATGGCGCATGGAGTGTGGCTGAAAGACGAGGAGGTGGCACTGCTGAAGGAGAGCGGCACGGGCGTGGCTCACTGTCCCAACTCGAACCTTTCTCTGAGGTCGGGACTCTGCGACGTCCGGAGGCTTCTGAGTGCAGGCCTCAAGGTCGGCCTTGGCACAGGTATGACTTGAGAAGGTAATGGGATGGGGAATGACCAAAGAATATAAAAATCATGGTACACAGACACAAACACACACACACACATATATATATATATATATATATATATATATATATATATATATATATATATACATATACATAAATGGGGTATGACTACCGAAGGAAATAGGATGTGGAATGACTAAAGAATAATAAAATTATGACATACATGATAAATAAAAAATGGGACATGACTAAAGAATGGAATGGGATGATGCTCGTTGTCTATTTGCTAATTTGGTTCTCCGCGTAGATTCAATTTCCCGGCACTCCATTTAATCGCCAAGCTATAATCGTTTAATCGTCATTTTCAGATTGCTCAGGTGGTTATTCTCCCTCGATCCTAAATTCCCTGCGCCAGGCTGTGCTCATGTCAAAGACCATCTCCACGATGACCGAGGGATATGAGAGCATCACCCTGCAGGAGGCTTTCCGACTCGCCACTCTGGGAGGCGCCAAGGGTGAATTCACTTCTTTTTATCACTTTCAAACTTCTTTTTATCTTTACTTTCAAACTCACTTCTTTTATTCTTCACTTCTTTCACTTCTTTTTATCTTCACTTTCAAACCTTTTTATCTTCACTTTCAAACACTTCTTTTTATCTTTACTTTCAAACATCTTTCACTTCTTTCACTTCTTTTTAACTTTCACTTCTTTTTATTTTCACTTCTTTCACTTCTTTTTATCTTCACTTCTTTCACTTCTTTTTATCTTCACTTTCAAACACTTCTTTTTATCTTTACTTTCAAACACTTTTTATCTTCACTTCTTTTTTACTTTCAAACACTTTTTATCTTTCAAACCTTTTTATCTGCACTTTCAAACACCTTTTATCTTTACTTTCAAACCTTTTTATCTGCACTTTCAAACACTTCTTTTTATCTTTACTTTCAAACTTCTTTTTTTCACTTCTTTTTATCTTCACTTCTTTCACTTCTTATCTTCACTTTCAAGCTCACTTCATTTTATCTGCACTTTCAAACTTCTTTTTATCTTCACTTCTTTCACTTCTTTTTATCTGTACTTTCAAACTTTCAAACCTTTTTATATTCACTTTCACTTCTTTTTATATATATATTTTTTTCAAACTTTTATATTTACTTTCCTTTTATATTCATTTCTTTTTGTATATATATTTTTACAAACTTTTATATTTACTACTTTCAAACTTTTAATTCACTTTCAAAACTTTCAAAATTCTTTTATATTCACTTTCAAACTTTCAAAATTCTTTTTATATTCACTTTCAAACTTTCAAAATTCTTTTTATATTCACTTTCAACTTTCAAATTCAATTTCTTTTATATTCACTTTCAAACTTTCAAAATTCTTTTTATATTCACTTTCAAACTCTTTATATTCAAAACTCAAAATTCATTTTATATTCACTTTCAAACTTTCAAAATTCTTTTTATATTCACTTTCAAAACTTCAAAATTTTTTATATTCACTTTCAAAACTTTTTTTTTTATATTCACTTTCAAACTTTCAAAATTCTTTTAATTCACTTTCAAAACTTTCAAAATTTTTATATTCACTTTCAAAACTTTCAAATTCACTTTCAAACTTTCAAAATTCTTTTTATATTCGCTTTCAATCTTTCACAATTCTTTTTATATTTGTTTTCACTTCTTTTTAAACATTTTTTTCTTCTTTGGGAACTATAAGGAGACGTATGGAAGAGACGCAATATCCCTTACTTTAGAATTAGTGGAATCCGAATGTTTCATGAGGATATATATTTTTTCCCAGTCATTTGCATGGAGGATCGGATCGGAAACTTTGAGGTTGGGAAGGAGTTCGATGCCCTTTTGGTAGACGTGGCAACAATGGGAACACCCCTTGATATCTTCCCAGAGGTACGGTTGAATAAACACGGTTCTTATAGATAATCAGTAATCAGTCAGCTATGTCATATCGAGTGGACTGGATCTGTTTGAGATTAACGGCTCTCAACTGTGTAAAAAGCTGGCAAAATGTGTTCATCAGATAAGATTAAATATTTTGTTTATGTGAAACAAATAAGGTTTGTCATCATACCGTGTGCCGAATCATGGCTTCTCATTAACTGATATTACTGGCCAATTGGTGATAACACCCCTTCCTTATCATCAGGACACAACCGAAGAGAAGATAGAGAAATTCCTATACAACGGAGACGATCGAAATATTCTACAGGTTTACGTTGCTGGAAGGAATGTAATGGACAAAACGCGATGATTTTCTTCAGTCAGCCCTCGGAAACGGTTCTGGAATGGCCGTTCTCTTTAGTAATGACAAAAACTGTTTTTAAATTTGAATTTGATTTTATCATCGAATATTCATATCATAGATAAAACAGATGGTTGTTGTTTTTAACACTGAATTTGATATTATTGAACATCTTGATCTTAGATAATACGTATGCTTGTTGTGTTCAAATCGAACTTGTTTTTATTATTAAATGTAATGCGCATCATCTGACAACAAACTGTTGATTGGTCAAGTAGGAATTTATTCTATTTTATATTGGCTGTGTATTAGATGAACCTGTGGAAGCATATATTCACTAAAAGATAATCCAAATTCATACAACCCTCAGTAACATAAAAATGATTATTATGTATAGTTATGTTTTGAAGTGCATGTCAACATCTCTCTTTTATATATCTATGTCTGTCTATATATGTATCATAGTTCTATTATCTGATTAAATCCAAGCTTAGAACGCAATTTTCCTATTGATGAGATAATAATAGAACATAAGAATGATGATATTGACGTAGCATTAGCAATAATCATTGGAAATACTATGATTGTTAAGAGAGACTATATAACTTCAAAAAAATAATTAATGTGGATATAAAGGTTATCATAAATTGATACAACCCAAGACTGTTACGTAAACGTGTATGGAAATAATGATAATAAAAATGTACATAATCCTT